CGCTAGCGATGCTTGGGGCCGGCTAGTTCCCTGCGGTGTGTGTGTGTGTGGGGTGGCTGCCCTGTGTTCAGCAGCCCTCTGGATCTCAGTACCCTATGGATCTCAGTAGCCCCCACCCCCACCCCTTCCTCCAGATGAGACAACCTAAAATGTCCCCTGACATTGCCACTGCTCCAGTGGGAGAAAGAAACAAACAGATAAATACATGTTCTTCTTTCCATAATGGTAACTGCTAGCAAGTGAAAAGAGCAGGTGAGGGGAGGTCCTGAATCTTCCTTCTGATTTTAATTTTCTTCCCGCATCCCTTAAGTCTCCGCTACCTACACGGAGGCCATCTGCCTGGCCATGCACCACCCTCCCCCGCATCGCACCCCCCCTTCCACCTGACTTTCCCTCCTCCCTCCAGTTTTTTTTTTTTTAATTTTTTTTATTTATTTCTAGGAGAGAGAGAGAGAGACAGCGTGAGCAGGGGAGGGTCAGAGAGAGAGGGAGTCACAGACTGAAACAGGCTCCAGGCTCTGAGCTGGCAGTCAGCACAGAGCCCGACGCGGGGCTTGAACCCACGAACCGCGAGATCATGACCTAAGCGAAAGTTGGACGCTTAACCGACTAAGCCACCCAGGCGCCCCATCCCTCCTCCCTCCAGTTTTTTAAATCCTGCCAGTCTCTCCTAGAAAGAAGTAAAAAAAAAAAAAAAAAAAAAGACCTTCCACTTCTTCTCCAAGGTAGGGACAATTCCTAATTACCTCTTTGTGGCTGTAACGTGACTCCAGGCTCTGAAGGTGAGCCCTTCTGTCACCCTGCCTGAACTTGGCCTCCGTTCCAATTGGCCAAAGAGGAACAAAACAAAACAAGATATTTAAAACACTTTCCAGCCTCAGTCCCGCCCGCCTCCCATAACGGATGGGGCTGGCCTGCTGCTCGCATGAGGCAGATAACTCCCAAGTACACGTCTTTCCCTCGTCCGCGGACGGGCTATCTCGGGATGCAGCTGGCCAGTGCTGCTGCTGGCCTGGCTGGCGGCCAGCGGGAGTGGAGGGCCGTTTCCACGGGGCCGGGCCTGGGCGGCGAGGTGCCTGGGGAAGGGGGCCGGGTCAGCCCTTCCTCTCCTTTGAGGCCGGCTTTATCACCCCGACACTCTGCCTGGCTTCTGGCTTCTGGTTCTGCTCTCTGAGCCTCTCCATCCCCGGGGAATGTTAAAGAGACATGTTTTAATCTGTTTTTATTAGTCCATCGCTTATTAATATCACCTCAGAACCTGCTTGTTTCCGCCTGTGCTGGCTTTCCCATCCAGCACCATGGCGGTTGGATTTTTTCCTTCCTTTTCTTTTTTATTTAACGTTTATTTTGAGAGAGAGAGAGAGAGAGAGCGAGCACAAGTAGGGAAGGGGTAGAGAGAGACAGAGACACGGAATGTGAAGCAGGCTCCAGGCTCTGAGCGGTCAGCACAGAGCCGGACGTGGGGCTCGAACTCATGAACTGCGAGATCATGACCTGAGTCGAAGTCAGACGCTTAACCGACTGAGCCACCCAGACGCCCCTCTTTTCATTCAAGCCCACGGCTCCCTAACCTCGGCACTGTGGGTGCGGTGGATTTAGCATCAATCCTTGTTGGGGGACGTTTAGCAATGGCTCTGGTCTCTGCTGTGCCCACTGGATGCCTCTAGGACCTCTCCCCCCGAATGTGACAACCCAGAAGTCTCCAGACATTGCCACGTATCCCCTGCTGGTGGTGGGGGGTGGGCAAAACCACCCCTCACTGAGAACCGCTGATTTCAAGGAATATAAAAACCTAATTTTAGATGGCAGAGTGTTCCCCTTAACATCTTGGTGGAGCTCTGCAGGGAGATAGGAGCTTTCTCTGGGCCTTACATGAGTCTGAGCTAAAGGTCTAACACCTCTGTCACCCAGTACTTAAAACGTCTCAACAGAGTCGATCTCCTAAAAGAAAACACCGATCAGGCAGTTGCTCTTGGTGGATGTTAGCCAGGTTTCTGTCCTGCTCGGTTCGGTTTCTCTTTTGTTCCTTTCTCTAGAGGCAGGTGAAGGTACAGCATTTAGGGTTGTGGAGTCATAATGGGGTTGGAAGTCTGCTCTCTGGCACTCGCCGGCTGTGTGACCTTGTGCAGCTCACTTCATGTCTCTGGGCTCGGTTCCAAATCTCTAACAATGCTCCCTACCTCACAGAGTCAGTCAGGGCAAAGCGCTGATTTAGCACCGAGCCAGGCCCAGGGTGAACAGCCGTAGCTGTGGGGGCAGCTCTGTTGGGGGGGGGCGTCTGAGAAGGGCCGCCGATCCAACCCTAGAGTGAGGCTGGCAACACCCGGTTTCTTTATTTCCTGCTTCTCAGCCACATTCCATCAACTCCAGAACTGGCCCTTAGTGGGCCTGCCCGGGGCTTCCTCTGCAAGCCCTGTCCCTCCCGGGCTTCCATCTGTCCCCATACCTTTGTCTCTGTCCCCAGCCAAATCGCTGTCTTTCTGATAACCTCGGACCTACCAACAGCATTCCTCAAACGGAGCAGAGCTGCCAGAAGAAGTCGGCGGCTTCCTGCTCTTTGCCCCAGAAAACATTTCAAGTGATCAAGTGATGGGGGGGTGGCGGGGAGGAAGCCGCAGCTGCTTATGCAACAAGCTTTAATCCCGGGTTAAAATCCACCACGCGCACCAGTGGCATATTTCATTTCCTCATTGGGTCGTGAAGCTAGTGGCACATGAGATCCACCACGGACAGACCTGTCCCCCCCCCCCCCCCCAAACAGCACCTGCAGAAGCAGACCATGTTCCCTACGGGATGGTGGCAGAGGGCCGATGCCCGTGCGGCCCGGAGGCACAGCACGGTCTGAGGAGCCCTGGCCTCCACCGCTTGTCCCCGGCTTGGTCTCCCTGTACGCAGGAGGAGCGAGCTCCTCCCTCCCAGCGAGGCCCAGGCTTGTCCTGAGTGCTGGACCCTTGTCGTGGTGTCCCTCCCTGCATCTTGGCCTCTTCGGCCTCATACACAACCGCCAGAAAACCTCCTCCCTTTCCATAAAGCCTGGGCCCTGCCCCCGCAGGACAGCGTGTTTGGATTCCTGGCTTGTTCCTGCGTGATAGAAGATTCCCAGCCAGGAAGCCGAGATGTGCGCGAGGTGGGCATCTGTGGTCCATGTGGGGGGGCGGGGGCAGGCAGAGCGGGCCATCGGCTCTCCGTTTTCTTTGTGGGAACGGACGGCGTGGGACAGGAAAGCCCACCGAGTCCTAATTTTAGGAGGCGAGGGGAGACTTTATTGGGCCCTCATTTCACCTCCCGGCGGATGCCTGCATCCCCCCTCTTGAAGCTCTCGCCAGCCTCTAAAGGATGGTGTTTATTTAGCTTCCGTTGTTCCAGCTTGCTGTTTTTTTTTTTTTTAAAAAAAATCTTGTTAATGAAGCACCTTGTCTTTGAGAAAAAAAAAACAAAACCCCAAGCAAGCGTGGACATTTTAGGATCTTTTTGCATTTGCCTTTTCTTTCTCAGGGTACAGACCGACGACAAAGGCAGCTTTGGGGAGGAAACGGGCAAAAGACCTCCTAATACTATTGAAATGGATGGAATTACAAGTAGCTCCGAAAAAAACTAGTTAATATTTTACTGGGGAGCAGTGCCAGAGATGGGGGTGGGGACTGCCAGGAGCAGCGCTGTGTGTGAAATAGCTGTTCCATCTGCCTTAGGGGACGAAAAGAAGCCGTTCTCCGTGGAAATAAATTTAAGCAAGAATCCTTATAAAGCTCATGGGATTCGTCTGCCCACCGAGGGCCTGGTTCCCCAAACACACATACAGGGAGGATTGTAGCAGGAAGGGCTGAGCTGTGGGTGTAGGCCTGGCTAATAATGGGGTTTCTTGTTCCCTTGCTGGGCTTGACATCTTTCTTTCTCCCTCTGGATTTAAATGGCTTCTCAGACCGAGAGGCATTGCCTGTGCCCTGGATTCAGAAGGTACACGCCTCCTTGGGAAGCAAAGGCGAGAGACAGCGGCTCACCCTCTCTCTCTCTCTTTCTGCATCTGCCTGGAGAGCTGCAGCTGGTATTTTTCCACAGGCCTTTTCTGCGATCTCAGGGCCTAGTTTTTCCCAGCCAGGCCCAGAGTCCGAGAGAGGGTTAATAGGCAGGAAGCTGAAGGCATTGCAGACTAATACGGAAGTCAGATTTTTGTTTAACTGACAGGTTTAGCAGGCCTCAGTCGTGGGGGAGGGGGCCGGGAGGGGAAGGGAAGTTTGTAGATCTAGGCATGTGGCCTGCTAGGAGCGCATTTGGCTTTTCTTAGGGTAAGGACAGAGAGGGGGGGCCCCGTTGGCATCCTGGCAGGGACGCGGGAACCCATTTTGGTTTTCCTTTGCGTCCTGGCCGAGGGGGGTGAGGAGTTAGATTCTCGCGCCGGGGAAATGGCTCTCTGGCCTGCTTTCCCAGGACGCATTCTGACAATGACTCTGCAAAGCTGACCATTCTGTGCCCCTCCTCTGCTCAGCAGCCCGAACCGCCTGTCCCCCGAGGAGCCAGGGCTGCCCCTCAGCGATTTCCTGGGGGTGGGGGGCTCGCCTGTCCTGTCCCCCCCTCCCCCCACCTCCGCAGCCTCTCAGAGGCCTTCCTCCAACCCCTTTTGCTTGCCCCCTTGGCTGTTTTCCTGGGGCTCCCCACTCCTCGGCTCTGCTTTCCCACCCCCCTCCTCCCCGGGGGGGGGGACGCGGGGGGAGGGGAGAGAACCATTCTGCTGGACTGTTCCAGAAAAGGGCCAGGCTCCCTCCTAGCCAAGAGCCGTTTCTGTGGGGGCAGGTGAGGGTGAGCCCTTTCAGCTCGCCCCCAAAACTCCCTTGCCCGGGGGCAGCCGGGCCTCAGGCTTTGCTGGAGCAGGTCAGGCTGGCCGCACTGGTTTGCCCGTGCCGGGAAATCTGGCCAGGGTGTGGGAGAAGGGCGTCTGGGGGCCCCTTTCCCAAGTTTTTCTTGCTGCAAAAGGCCTAGCTTAGCCTGTCTTTTTCTATGCACAGGATGGCTCTTGCTCACCAGAGCCTCACAAAGATAATCGCTCAGGAAGTGTTTCAGCCAATCCCGGGCGGCCTTACACTCCGCTTCGCCGGGGCAGCCAATCGGGGATGAGCTTTTATTAGGCGGCCAGATCATCAAGCCGAAGTGCCAAACCCTTTTTCTGTGAGAACTAGGAGCCTGTCCTCCATGTTTTATAAGTATTGACATTACACAGTGTTAACAATGCATCCACAGAGGTAAGCTGGACTTTTTAACCATCTTTTCTCCCCCTCCCTCTGAGACATCCGAATTGTGGGCGAGCAGTGTGATTTCTCTGTGGCTGGCCGTGCCACACTCACCCCCACAGCACTTAGGTTAACTTGGAACTGTTTAGAGAGAATTTTTTTGCTTTCTTGGGTCACATGGCTAAGTAGCCATTAGCCATGGCTCGATTTTGCAAACTGGCAAAGGCCTGGCACACCTTTTCTTCCACCAGGGCATGGTGTTTCTGGAATAGTTTGAAGCTAGATCCTGGAATGCCAAAAAAGAAGCTTTTTTTTTTTCTTTTCCTCCTCTCTCTCTCTCTCTCTCTTTCTCTCTCTCTCTCTCTCTCTCTGAGCAGTTCTCCCCCCCCCCCCCGCACTATTGTCTTCTCTTGTGTCACATGCCTGCTGGGGGAAGAAAATGGAAGATAAGCAAGCAGGCTCCTCTCCAAGGAGAGCTCATGGCAGACAGCAAAGCAGGCAAGTTTACCTCTCCAAAGAGGTTCTGGGAAGGCTCGAGTAAGTTCTGACAAGAGAGGACGTGTGTTTTAGAAAGAACCAAGCCCTGAGCAGCGCAGTGCTAAGGAGCGCTCCTAGCTCCTGGGGCCTAGGTGGGTGGTGGTGTGTCTACATGGCCTTTTCTCTCCCTACAGGGTTTTTCACTTGAAACTACATTGTTCAGCCTTTTTTCCTGACTTCTGTTGATACAGAGTGTTCTTCTGCAAGCCAGCCTACAGCCAGCAAATGTTTCTGAAAGTGTTTTCTAGGCTTTGGAGGAAGTTTTTGGAGTAGGGATGGGGATGGAGGGGGGGTGTAGAGAGGGGAGGGAGGTTGGACAACACCCTGCAATAAATCTGTGAGGACTCGTTTTGATTCCCTTAGCTTTCTACTCTTGCATGATTTTCAATGAACTAATGTATCTTTTATCCTTGTTTTCATTTTCCTGTCCCTCTCTTACATTGTATCCTCCTCTGCCCTCCCCTGTGATGGAGGGCAGAGGAAATAAAATCATGTCTGTGGCTCATGACAGCATTCCATATTCAGTTGTTGGGTTGTGTTGTTGTTGTGTGCGTGTTTTTAATAATCCCATGTAGCTTTTTAAAAAAAAAAAAAACTTCCTTTTTGATCAAGTCCCAAATCTGCCAGCCTGTTCTCTCTTCTTAACTGTGGAAAAATGAGACGGTTGCTTGAACATTTGTTGGGTAAGTAGAGCAAATCCATTTCCTCTGTGACCATGTATAAAGAGTTTGGCGGCCGTTTGGGGTCTGTTTGTAACAGAGGGGCTTGGCTACAGGAATTGGGCGACTTTTCATTAGCAGGAACCAAAGAAGGGCTTTTTAATAGTGTCTTGATTTTAGGGGACTGTTTGAAGCCACTGTTTTTCCTGATAACCTGCTGCTAGGATTCAAGATCACACTTCCTGTTTACCCTCCGACAGGGGAGAAACGTTCAGTTCATTGTGACTTGGGGGGGAGACCTTGAGTTGGGATTGTTTGGATATTGGCTAGAACTCTGGGTAGGCGATCTGCTTGTGAAATGTAACCAAAGTGCTTAGAGGCGCAGAGCCTTAAACTGGTGAGGCAGCAGCCTGGTGGAGGTGGAGGTGGAGGTGTTGGTGGTGTGTGGGGGTGGGGTGGGGGGGTCAGTACCGCAGTTTTAGGAGACTGGCTTGTAGTGTAAAATCCCACCCACCACCAAACTTGGTTTGATTCAGTACTTACACTGCACAACAGATTTGGCCTTTTCCCAAGCCTGACCCCACACATCTGTATGCACGCTTGGCTTTACTTAGGATTTATCTCTCACTTTTTACACTTCCCCTGATCTCTCTCAATGCTGCAGCGAGAACTTCAGGGTGAGAAAAGTAAGACTCTTGTTTAGTGTTAGCCTCAGAATTTACCCAGAAGTTCTCTACGCAGATTTCCAGCCTGAAGACCAATCTAGCCTGACCCTAAATGCTGGGAACACATTCAGTTGTTCAGTTATGCCAACTTGATGGAATCAGTGATCTTTTTTTTTTTTCCTTTAAGTTAGGCGTCCTGCCACTCACCTTTGAGCATCAGTTGGAAAACGGCTCATTGAATAACAAGATATGTACCGATTTCTAAGTTAAGGAAAGTCTGCGTGAGGCCAGCTTTTAGAGTTAAGAAGTGCAGGCAGTTAATGATGTTATGTGCCTAGGACCGAACAGTGTTACCACCCCGCACGAAGAAGTCCAGACCCTTAGCTCTTTTTCTTTGTTCTTATCTCCTGGCTGTAAATGGAAATTACATATTGAGGTTCTTGTGGCCTCCTGGGAAGCAGTATCTAATCACAAGACTTCTGGTTTGGTGCCTTCAACGTCTGCATAATGGTGTGTAACTAAGGGCAAGGCATTTATCCTCTAAAAGCGCCAAGGTCTGTTTTCCAGTGTGCAGCCCCAGCAAGTTCCCAGCCCTGGACCAAGCTGGCCACTTTTCCTCTGGTACTGTGGCCACCACCAAGCATGAGTCTGTAAAAAGTTAATTGCTTCCAAAGTAGCTTATTTTCTAGGTCCACTAAGGGGGGGGGGGGGGAGAAATGTCTGCATTGGAGCAGGACTAGGTGGGGACAGCAGTGCCAGCTCACAGAGCAGCCAGCCCAATGGGGCTCCTCTCTCCAGCTTTGAACCAATAGACTTGGAGGGAAGGTTACAGATTGACAATCGGAGTGGCCAGACTGAGAACGGGCCTTCTGGAAGTTTCTGCCATCTTTGTTCCTCTTAGGAGAAGCTGATCCCGCCAAGCTGAAGAGTGTCTCCTACATTCCATTCCTGGGGCATTCCCTCCCCCTCCCTTTTTCTTTTTCACATCAAGGTAGAGTGCTCTTTCTGCCACGGTTATACATTTCAGAGGGAGGTTCGGAACTTGGGCTCTTCTCCTTTTTCCTTCTGCCTCCTCAGCCCCAAAGAGGACGCACAGCTGCGAGGAACAAACACAGACACACTGGAGCTTTTGATTCTTCTCTCTCTCTCTTTTCTTTCTTCAAGACCCTCCAGGACGGATTCACTTTCTGCTTTGGGAAATTAAGTGGCGTTCACGTGGGGGAGGGGGAGCAAGTGCTTTTATTAGCTCCAGAAAATGGTCAGTCTTCCGTCTGTAACTAGGAATTAATTATATATAATCACTCAGTAAACTTTCTACAGAGTTTTTCTAATTGCTGTGCATGAACATAGTTAGCCTGTTGGAACCCAGTCCAGTTACTTTTGTAATTAACAGCTCAAAGATTTGAGTCAGAAAGAAAGAAACAATGGGGCCTCTTGGATTATAAATTAGGGATGAAAACAATGGCTTTTTCTTTCTCTCCTTTCTTTCTTGTAACCCCTTTTCTTTTAAACAAAACATTCCCCCTTTTTTCTTGCCCTGGGAGAACAGTGGGGAAACTTCTTCAGGTCTTAAATAGGAGGGGGCGGGGGGGGGGCAGGAGAGAAAAGGGGTCCAGGATGACAGGAACCCAGAAAACCCTTGAGGCAAAGGTGGGTTTTTAAAAAGTCCGACCACTTCAAAATGTGTGATCTCTTTGTTTCTTTGGCCTTCTTTCCCCCTCCTCTCTCCTGTGGCAGAAGCAACATTTGTCAGCTGAGAGGCCTTGGGTCTGGCTGTGCCTCTGTCTGCTTGACCCTGAAAAGAAAGATACATGCAAAAGTGTCTTCTTCGCCAGCCACCGGGCAGCAGAGATTTAGAAAGGGCATCCGTTTAGAAGTCCTCTCTCTCCTCGTTCTTAAATGCAAAACAAGTGAGGATTCACCCTTGGCTCCAGGTTGCTAAGGCTGGGCTGCCCTTCCCCCCACCCCCCACTCTCCTTCCAGATAAACAAGCGGGCGGGAGCTATGTCAGCACTGCAGCTCAGCCTGGCCGCCAGGCTGTCCCTCCTCATCAAGATTACCTACCTACCGGCCCGGCGAGGAGCCAACCACCCCGTCCTTGCCCCAGCACAGCCATGGGCACTGTGCCCTCCTTTCTCCCCTGGAGCTAAAAAGCAGTCACCTTGAACCTCCCCGCTCAGCACCAGAATGGCAAGGCCAATTCGCAGACCTGCAACAGTAAATTACATTCTCCACCACGAGGCTGCTCGTTCGGCCTCCGAAAGCGGGTGTTTGCAAGCCCCATTGTTAAATTTCGGGGCTCTGTTGGGGGTGGACAGAAACCCGATGTGTGAGTACCCCGGGCACTGGCTCAGGGACTGGTTTCACTGTCGTTTCTCTGCAGACCCGGCTTGTCTTTCCTGGAGGTGAACTGTCGGAGGGCTGGCTGGGTCTTTGGTGGCCGTTTTCAGGCTTCTTAAACAGCCTTTTGATTTTACCTTGGCCTCAGACAGGGGTGCGGCCCTTCAGCTCTGGCTTTGCAGATGACTGCTGCTGTCCTTGAAACACTTTCATTTTACCTAGCTCCTTTCTGGAATGGGTGCGAAGCTGGTTTCTAACCTATCAAGAAGGGGGCATGGTCTTCCTCCCCCTCCCCAGCTTGGCTCCCCCTTTAAACATTTTTGCATGTGGACAGACACCTGTCTGTCCGCAGTTTACGCCACCCCAGGTAATTCCCAACCTCCCACCCACCTAATTTGAGGGCCAGGGGGCCTCTCCTCCCAGCCTCCTGTTTGGAGGCTCAGGATCTAAAAGGAAAGGGTTTTCCTCAGAAACCTGTGACTTCACAAACTCCCCCTGTCATTGCAGATTTTTTTTTTTAAGCTTCTAAACGTTGGTTTGTTGGTGTCCTTTGGTTGAGCTTCTCCTAGTTCTGATATTTAGGAAGGTGGCTTTAAAACTAGCAGGGCTGCTTAAACAAGAGCTACAGCTATTGAACAAACTGCTACCATTTTAGCTTCAATACAGGAATGAGGCAGTGTTGCCAGACGCCATTTTAAGAATCCTGCATAAATAGCTTAGCTACCGATGAGTCTGCCTGTTTTAGGTGAGTGCTTATATAAAGCTCCTCTGCTAACCATTCCCTCCCCCCCCAATTTTTAAAAAAAAAATTAATTGCAGATTTAGGGAAGCATGGTTTTCTTATTTTGATGCTCACTATTTTGTGATCTAGAAGAGGAAGATGTTGTGTCTTGGGGATTAAATTTTTCTTACAGCCTGGACCAGTTTGGGATTTTGAATGAAAGTAAAAACCTACAGGAAAAGTCCTTTCGAATGATGCATGATCCTTGAATTGCCGTGCGACGATCCTCATCTGTTGAACCAGAGTCTTGTGCATGCTGGTTATATATTCTAGATGGGTTAGATATTCTTGGTTAAAAGTCAAATAGTAGGGGCACTTGGGGGAAAGAGAGATCTGGGTATTGTGTATCCAGGCATTTTCTTTTTTCTCCTCTTCTGTCAAAACTAGATGTTTTCTCTTTCTCTCTCTTTTGGAAGTGTGGAGGGGATGGCATTCCTGGGAATTACGGACCAGCCTTGAGTCCTCAGAATTAATAATCAGAAGGCTTAAAACATTCTGGAGGTTCAGCGCTTCATCTTCAACTTTTAATTGCTCTTTTTCAGTGCATGCAGGTTAAGAAGGAAGCCTGGGTTTTCTTGCTCAGGCACTGGGGGGAGAAGATCTTTTATTCTTTCTGGGACCGGATGGGAAAGTCTTGGTTGCATTTGCAGACGCTGCTGCTATTTCTTCTTTAATTACCTGAAATGTATCAGTTTGTGAAATCCACAGGCAAATGACTTAGGGTAAATGTGAGTGCAAGAAGGTGCTGGCGGTGGGAGCATATATTGTATACAGCTAGTTGGTGATGTATTTTCCTTTTGGGGTGAAAGGCTGTAGTTGGGGTTTTCAGCTAATTTTTACCCTTTTCTTTAGCTGGCCCCCAGCCTCCCAAGTGGACCTTAAAAAAAAAGTAATGTCAGTTTGAAACAAGGGTTTGTTCCATTGTTTTTGATTTAACTAATCGGGGTTGCTGGAAGCTAGCAGATAGAAAAGATGCTGTATTTATTCTACAACTTGAATGTGTTATGACAGGAGTTAAAAATCTTTCCTCCAGGTGCAGCTGGCTTCTCTTTTTAAGAATTATTTGACTTTTTTTTTTTCTCCTCCAAATGACTGAACAGTTTTTAACCTAAATTGACCACGATCTGTGGGGGCATTCATACCAGGTACAGAGCTTTTGGTATAAGATTCATAATTTTCTCCCTAACAACATACTAGTGCTTAACACTGAACCAAAAAGAAAAAAAAATCAAAAAACAAAACAAAGCAAAACAAAAAAAAAAAAACAACAACCAAAAACCCTGAGATCAGTGGGGTAGAAAAAGGAAGTCCCTTTAGATGTGGCTATTCAAAATGACTCATTTTGCATTCTGGTCTTTGCGCTTATAAATGAAGTTTTTTCCCTTTTAATGCATAGACACTGCAATTTCCTTTAGTCAAATGCAAGTTATTGTGTGTGCGTGTGTGTGTGCGTGCGCGCGCGTGGGTGCGTGCAGGGGCTCCCTTTGAAAGGATGGCTTGCCGATCTGCAAAAAAGATGGGTTTCTGAAATCATGCTTGAAATTCCTGGGTGAAGCTGGTGGTGCTGTTGGTAAAGTGGGGTGATTATGCTGCCTACTTGGAGGACTTGGAAAGATAAAACCGCTTCAACCCTCCCCCCCCATTTCTGTAGCAGCAAATAGCCACCACCTAACTAGTTTGCATTTTCCTAGCTTCTCTGCAGCACCCCTGCCTGAAGGGCTGTGTGCCTCTAAGCCAAAATAATTGTTCTCTTGAATACAGTCCCTCCTCCATGATCAATACACCTTTGAATGTTTTCATCACCGCAGAACTCCTTCAAGTGGGTTTTGGGGGCTCTGTTTTGCATAATCGTTTTCTCCCTGGACGTTTTGGTTGCATCCCAGATGAGCGTTTTCTCTGTCACTCAACATGGGGAATCGGGGGCAGGAAGTTTAGGATTTCACATACTTCATGCTAGAGAGGGAAACAGAATTCTAGTTGCTAGGAAGATCAAGGTTGCTGTTTGTTCCTTTCAGGTTGATCATCCAACCCGTCTCTGAAGAGCTGCTTGGGGTTTTTTATGGAAATGTATTTCCAGTCACCCCAGGCAAGAAACCATTAGTACCCATTGGGACAATGTGTGTGTGTTGTAGGGAGGATGTTTCCCCGAGTGAGAGTGTTTGTCTCTGAAGTTGGGCTAAAGAAGTATCCTCCTTACGATCCCCTTCCGCAGATCACCTTGTAATAAATACTGCATGTTAGGGCAGTGTTTACATTTAAGAGTCCGTTCCTGATGGGAAACCATTTGTGACAACATGTCCGTCGTTTCTTTGGGGATTTGTGTCGCAGGCTTTCTCTACAGATGCAGTTGTTAATAGGGTTGCATATCAGAGAGCAAAATGTGTTACTATTCCAACCAGTTTTAAACTACCTTTATTCTCTCTGTGGGGACTAGTTAAGGTTGAGGTGTGCAAGTTCTTCTCATTTTCCTCTGAGCCATAAATTCTTTCTGTCTGGTTCTTATCGTGAATCTCCTTCCCTTATGATGGCCCTCGCCTAACACCATCTCTGTTGACCCTGACGTTCCAGGCCTTTTTGGACTCTTTTGTCTTGTCACAGGCTCAGACCATGGAACACAGAAGGGACATTCTAATCCTTCCTCTCTCACTTAGCCCTCCCTCCAGTCCTGGCTTTGCGTCTTCCAAATGGAAAATTCCAGCCGTATCATGGGTGATGCACCCATTTCTTCCTGGTGAACCACAGACTGATGGAATTGCAGCTGGAGTGCTTGCTCATATTCTTATCATTTCGGGGTCACCCTGAATGCTTGGCAAGTCCCAGCACCTCAAACATTTTGCACCTATGAAAGCACAACTCTCCCGGCTTGCCTGGGAGGTGTGCGGGGGGGGGGGGGGCGGCGGAGCACATGAAATGGTCTCACTCTATTCAACAGGAGTTCCAGCCGGAGAGAGAGAGAAGATTCTGGTAGACCTTCCCAGCCAAGGGGCCTGCTCCCCTCCCCCTCCAACCCCCAACTCTCAGTCTGTCTCTTAAATAATCCTTCCTCATTCCACTTTTGTGGTGGGGGATAATTAGTCACAGCTCAGGAGTGCTGAATGCCTTCTCTGGGGAAACATGGGGGGGGTGGACACCCCAAGCCTGATTCGTGGGATGAGTTCTCTTGGTTTGAATGCTTGCAGACTGGGCCTTCTGCTGCTAACCTGGGCATATTTGTTCACTTTGCAATGTAACATATATGTATTTTTTCATGTTCCCGCCTCATCAAGGAATGCTAAGATTTAGCCGAGAGGTCTGTGCAAGGCTCTCCCTGCCCTGCAGAATTCCACGATCAGAACTCAGGGTACCCTGTGAACCATCTCTAACCTGAACCCAGTGTTAACAAGAAACGTGTTTACTCGCCGGCTGGGCTCTCATTGGCTCACGGGGGCAGATTGTAATTGTGTGTCTAAAAAAATGCTTTTTTTTGCACGCCCCCTCCCCCCACAGCATGACAACTGGGATAGTAATTTGACTTAAAAAAAGAACAACCCAGTGGTTAGAAAAACCCCTTTAGGAGTCTTAACACTTTGTTTGAAAATCCAACGTGGGTTTCTTCCCCACCCCCCACCCCCAGCCCTGCAGAAGGGTGGGGGACTGGCTTAAATGTGGGTTTGTTGTTAGAACTTCTAAATAGCTGTCCCCACGGGGCAAGTTCTCAGTCTACCTAAACGTGACCATAATTTGCTCTGTTTCAGCTTGGCTGAAGAGGAAATAAAAACAGAACAGGAGGCGGTAGAGGGCATGGATATCTCTACTCGCTCCAAAGGTGAGTAAAAATCTTGTATTCTCTCTTCCAGAGCAGAGGAGGAAATTGGAATTTCTTTTTCTAGTTGTTGTGGTGCAGTGAAGTGTGGCTCTCGCATCCGAGGCCCTGACACTCCTCCGATTCTGAGACGAGGAGCCTTTGATTGATGGACCTCATTTGTAGAGAAATTCCCTCCTTTGCTTTCCTTTCCTGTGTGTGCCTGTGCAGGTAAACTGACCTGTCACGACAGTAAATTTGACGCATGTGTCGTGACTGAGGGAGGAGGGGCTGGCTGTCTCTCTGCAGGGTGACTTTCAGGAATTCAGAGTTTAAATAAAGCATGTTCTGGAAGTAGTGGGAGTGTCCGGCCGCTGCTGGGTTTCTGATTCTAATAAACAAGCCTCCTTGGAATCACAGAAGTGGAACAAAGCTGGCCCTCTTCTTGAAAAACGGTGGTCTTGGTAGAGATAAAGAGGAAACAGGACTTTCTGGAATGCTGGGGCCAGCCTTTGTATTTCGGACAAACTTGAGCAAATGAGAGCAAACACGGGTTTAATTCAGATTCCTGCTTCTAATTGTGAGATTGGCACTTTTCTTTTGGTCTGTGTGAGATTGTAGGAGGCTTCCCAGGAGGAAGTAGTTCCTCACTTTTGCCTTTAGGGTGTTTTTAGGAATGAGCTACTGCAGTGTTTTCCACATCTTCCGGTTGATGAAAATGCTCATCTACAAACTTAATGTTTGTACCAAGGTGGTGGTACTCCTTCAGCAAGTCACTGTCTGCTCTGAGCTGAGGGTCATAGGGGAGGTGAGAAAGGCTGGAGAGAAAGTTATTGCAGACTGCCAGGAAGATTCGAGATCTTTCTAGAATCCAGCTAGACAGCATTAGAGGAAGTAGTTCCCTAGAGGCATCTGAAACATCAAAGCTTTCTGAGGAGTTTTCTAAGATATCCCTGTCATTTGGGGCAAAAATGAGGGTCAGAGAGTGACTCCAGAAGTGAAAGCTGTCCTTTGTTGGGGCCTGGCCTGACAGATGGGGGGGGGGGCACCAGCATGGTTCAGGGACTGGGGGGGGTGCCTGTGCTGAGAAGGCCAGGCTTCTGGGAGGGTGGTCTGTGCCTGGGGGGTGGAGCACACCCAGGATCTCAGGAGGTTGGGCCTAGTCTGCGGGGCCTTCATCACCACCCCCCTGCCTCACCCTGGGCCCCCCTCCCCCAGGCTAGCAGCACCTGTAATGGTAAGGAGAACTATGGCGGAGTTTGAGCAGGGAAAGAGCTTTCCTGAGGAGGTGTTTTGAGACAGTTGCTGCCGAGGGAGCTCCTCCCAGTCCCCTTGTGGTCAGAATGGAATGTGGAAAGAAAGCCCAGAGAATGGGTGGGGGTGGGGTGGGGCAGGGTGGGGGGTGTCTTTGTTCTCCCTCTGCTCCTCACCTGCACACTTGCAGTCTTTGTCCCTTCACGTTCTTATCTTTATTTATTTAACATTTTTTAATGTTTGTTTATTTTTGAGAGATAGAGCCTGAGCGGGGGAGGGGGGGAGAGAGAGAGAGAGAGAGGGAGAGGGAGGGAGAGAGAGAGACAGACAAAGACAATCTGAAGCAGGCTTCAGGCTCTGAGCTATCAGCACAGAGCCCAACACGGGGCTCGAACTCACAGACCGCAAGATCATGACCTGAGCCCAAGTCAGAGGCTTAACTTACGCCCCACACTCTTCTCTAAAATGGGATGTTGGATGAGATTCTATGATTCCTTCTACCTTGGGCTTTTCCTGTAGAAATAATGCACACGGATAGTTTGTACTGGGAGTCTTGTTGCATTTTCTTCCAGTCCCCTTAGGAGGTGGGGGGGGGCATTCCCCCTTTGCAGATGAGGACACTGAGGCTCTGAATGACAACATTTCACAGGTAGTCAGTTTAGGATGTGGTGGAACCGAGGCGAGGCTCTGCCACCAACGAGGCCCTTCCTTCCCTGGGCGCTTGGCGCCTGCAAGGTCCCATGGCCTTGTTGTGGCTTTGGGATCATCAGCCAGGGCGGGAGGCTCACTCTGCTCAGGCCTTCCCTGCCCCGTGCGGGAGAGCCCTCCTCTTCTCTTCTTACAGCCCCCGGGGGCTCCTAGAGCTTCCAGGTTGCACCACCTGAAGTGGTCACTCTGCAGTGACCATTGTCCTTTGCTCTCATGGCCCCACTCTGGTCCTGTCCCCCCAGGAGCTAGGGTGCTCTTAGAAAACAGGTCACATCTTGTTCCTCTTGACCTACCTACCTGGGTCGGGCCATCTGCCTTCTTTTTACCCGGTGACCTCCGTTCCCCTCAACCATTGCTCTCCCTGGCTCTGCTTGAGCACCCCTGTCTCCTTCCCCTCTGGTCCCTCTCGGGGCCCTGTGTGTCTTGTGTCTTTGGCTGGGAACATGCTACTCTGGGTCTTGCTGGCTATTTCTCATCTCTCAGATCATCTCAGACGTCCTCTCCCGGATGCCTTCGGTGTTGATCCAGTCCAAAGGAGCCATTCCATCATTTTCTGTTATATTTTAAAAAGTGGCTTCTAATTCCAGAGCAGTTTTAGATTTCCGGGTAAGTTGGGAAGATGGCGACAAGGGTTGCCACGTCGCCCCACCGAGTCCCCACGCACATACCCGCACCCAGATAGCGGTTCCCCGTTACTAACATGGCGCGTGAGCGTGGTGCGCTTGGCGCAGTTCACACATCTGTATTGATTGGTTTGTCGTTACCAACTGAAGTTCGTACTTTGTTCACATTCCCTTGGCTTTTCTGCCGAGGTGGCTCTTCTGTTCCGAGATCCCACCCAGTAAGCCAGGTTTAATGGAGTTATGTCTCCTTGTCTCCTCTTGGCTGTCCCAGTTTCTCAGATGTCCCTCGTTTCTGATGACCTTGATAGTTTTGAGGAGTACTGCTCAGGGTATTTTGTGGACTGCCCCTTGGTTGGGATTTATCTGACGTTTCTCTCGAGACTAGACTCCGGTAGGCTGGGATCGCAGGCTTTAGGGGAGGAAGACAGCAGGGTAAAGTACCATTTTCATCCCATCACATCAAGGGTGCATGTTACCGATGTGACTTATCGCTGGTGATGTTGATCTTGACCACCTGGCTGAGGTCATGTTTGTTAGGTCACCACCCTCTTGTGCTGTACACTTTGTAATGAAGTCATGAAGCCCACCCACACCTAGCGCATAGGGAGTACACTCTGCCTCCTTCAGGCCAGAGGATGTGCACAAATTATTTGGAGTTTTTCTCTCTGAGAGATTTGTCCATTCTCCTCAGTTATTTGTTATTCAGTCGTTTATCACAGCGTGGACTCCATTATTATTAGTTTAAAATTTTTCCTTATTTATTGTTTTTCTCAGAAGTTTATTTTGAGAGAGAGAGTGTGAGTCGGGGAGGCCTACCGAGGGGCAGAGAATCCCAGGCAGGCCCTGCAGTGTCTGTGCAGAGCCCACGTGGGGCTTGAACTCACAAACCCCGGGATCATGACCTAAGATCAAGAGTTGGATGCTTAACTGACTGAGCCACCCAAGGCCCCTAAAGTCCATTTGTTTTTGGGAAAGAGAGAGTGAGAGCAAGTATGAGTGGGGGCGAGCAGAGAGAGAAAGAGAGAGAATCCCAAGTAGGCTCTGTGAGGCCAGCACAGAGCGCAACTCAGCTTGATCTCACAAACAGCGAGATCATGACCTCAGCTGAAATCAAGAGTCGGGGACTTGCTTAATGGACTGAGTCACCCAGGTGTCCGTGGACTCATTTATTTTAAACTTTAGTTGCAGTCCAGTACTATTTTTTATTTTGTTGGTCAAGGTGTTCTGTCTGTGGGAGGTTTCTGGCTGGCTGGCTCAGTTGGTGGAGCGTTACAACTCTCGATCTCAGGTTTGTGAGTTCAAGCTGCATCGTGGGTGCAGAGATTATTAAAAAAGTTCCAGCTTTGGCTGTTGAGAGCTCTTCCAGGTGACTCCTGTGTCCCTTTGACATCCGTGGGGTTGATTGATTGAACCCTTTCTTTTCGTCACTACAAGATGTGCTAGGCTCATCTTGTAGATTTCCCGCCTTGGTCCTATGGCTGGCCATTCCCCCAAGGCACCCTGGTTCCTTTTATTGGTGAGTGGCATTGGGTCCTCAGTGCGCTCGTTGCTTCGGGGATGTCTTTGTTTCTTGTTCCTCTAGGACGACAGAACAGGGAAACACGCATGTGTACCGACCCGTATGTATATACACATCTATGAAGATTTCTCTCTGTGTCTACGTTAAACTAAACACGAGTTCGTACACTTGTCTCAAATTGTGATCTGTGACCACGTGGATCTTTCCAGCCTTCTCTCTTCTTGTCTAGAACTTCTTCACTCCCGTTCTGAGAAAGCTGCCTCTCACCATCTGCCGTTTGTTTACTATTTTCTGGTACATTTTAAATCTTATCGTTGGCGTACAGCTTGGTGGACTTAATTACTGTGGGACCACAACCCAGATCCAGAGACTTGAACATGGTATTCCAGAAGATTCTTCACGCTCACTCCAGATTGTCTTTATAGCTTTGTTCATGACCTTGTACTTCTTACTTTATTATTTTTTTTACTGTTTATTTTTTTTGAGAGAGAGAGAGAGATGGAGTGAGTGGGGGAAGGGCAGAGAGAGAAAGAGGAACAGAGGATCCAAAGTGGTCTCTATCCAGAGAGCAGCGAGCTCCTACGCGGGGCTTGAACTCACGAACCGCGAGATCATGACCTGAGCCAAAGTTGGACGCTTAACTGACTGAGCCACCCAGGTGCCCCCTTATTTATTTGTTTGTTGATGGTCTTTGCTGAAACGTTGTCTCCTCTCCCCGGGTCCTAGACCCCAGACCGCTATGCTCAGCCACTTCCTTCTGTCCAAGAGGCAGGGCCCGGTGGCTTAGAGGTTTTAAAACACCTCTTCTAGAGCCAGACTCCCTGGATTCACACTGTGGCCTGCCCCCTGCCTAGCTGGGTTATTCTTTGTGGCTCACTTTCCTCTTATCCACGGGGAGGGAAAAGCCCCAGAGCGTTGTG